AAATAATTAAATAATTGTTCCTAATTTATAATTGCTGTTGGCTGATAAAGAAAAGCTATGCTTCCTTTTTTTTATTTTTTTTCACTGTCGTTATTACAAAATAATTATTTTCAAATAAAAACTTATGTAGTTTTTTATTATATATTTTTTGTTATCTAAAAGAATTACCTTTTTTCTTATGTATAATAATTACAATAGAATATTATATTTAAAAACGTCACTTATTTATATTGTTTTCCATTAAAATGAATAAATTTCAAAAAGCTACATTATTAACAATTTATTATAATTGCTTTAAACCTACACCTACACTTTTAATATATTATTATATATTGTATACGGAAGAACTAACAAAAGTTTACTTAGTAGGGTAAGCTAAATAATTTTTGACAAATTAAAAAATGCTAATTAATTTAATAATTTTGATGTGTTATGACAAGCCGTCAAAATGAAAGTTAAGAAAAAAAGTCGGTGCAAATCCCATCGCCATCGTAGCAAGAGCTTCGGACGAAGTCTGAACTTCGGCATAACCTTAAGAAGATGATGAAAATGCACTATCACTTGTGACTAACTCGAAGTGGTTTAAGTGATCTCAGGGTGAACATTTTTCTGTAAAGATTAAATCTTGGGAAAGTTGCCCAATACCTTTTAATTTAAAATTGATGAAGACCTAACATAGATAAAGGAATTTTTTGTTGATTAAGTGGGCTTAAATTTGCAAACTAATTCCGTACTTAGGGATTGAAAAAATTCGTCCAGCACCATATTTCCTGGATTTAGCGATATGATTTGTGGTTATTTAAAAAAATAATTGATAAGAAAAGATCTTTGCCAATAATAAAAAGATTATTTGTGGAGATGAACTAAAAATTGTAAACCTAAAAAATTCGATATTAAGCACTATTTTAGAAAGTGGATCTATATCGACTACAAAAATGCATTAAAGTTAACAGAGATAATATTGAAAAAATGAAAAATTATGAAGATTAAAATTGACAAATTAAAATTATTATTTATTACAATCTTTTTTGTAACCAACTAAGTGAACTTTTGCTATTACAAAAACTAACCAAGAAAACATTTTTAAGTAAATATTTAAACCAAATTTCTATAAAAAAAATTTCTAGTAAAAAAATCTAAATTTAAAGAATCTATCTTTGTTGAATTTAAGAAAATCAATGGAGTTAAAAAATTTTTAACTCTATTTTTAGCAAGATTAGTGTCAACATTAAGTAGCAGCACTTATTATTATTATATTTCATTATTGAAAAAATTTATTTCTTAAGTGCTACTAATGGCATTTGACAGGTCTTAATGGTCGTTGACATATTCAATCGATAATTCAACATTGTATATGTATATATATCAGTTGCTAACTTAGGGCAACATTATTAAAATTCAATTAAATATGAGATGTCGACAATTGAATTTATCAATTTAGCTTATAATAATTACAAGGACAAATGTCCTGCCGAATTAATGGCTCCAAATTGGCGCTTGAATATTTTCACTCATATTTCTTTAATAAAAATAAACAAAATTCCGAAACCACTAAAGAATGAAATAACCTTGTGAAATATATGTTAACTACTATGTTATTTCGAGGCATTAGTAGAATAGATAATTTTATTTTTTTAACCTCACTTTCAAGCCATTTGCTGCGATTTTGAAACATGTGTCCATTGAATAATATAATCAAATATTAACAATAATAGATAATATAAATAAAAAAGTCTTTGGAAACTTTTTTTTTGTATTCTTATTAGTCATTCTTCCTATTAGTCATAAATAGTCTTCTAAAAGTTCTAAATACAGAAATAAAAAAGAATTTTCTTGCACAGTGATATTTTCTGTTAAATAAAATAATATATTATTAAAAGATGGTAATAAATTAAAGATATACGTATAAAATTTTTATTATACATATTTATATTAAAGTTTGCCTACTTCAAGAGATCTTATCAATAGTTTAATTTACTTTTCATAAATATTAGGCAAATTAACATTATCATTTCCTTAATTACTTCAATTATTTTAATTATTTTCAAATTAATTAAAATTATATATGTTTATTTTTTTTCCAGATTTTGTGTGTCATTCTTAAAAACGTTTGTTAAAGAAACCGTTTTAAAAAAGTATATTTCGGTTCTTTTGGTGTATAAGTATGATTTTTCTAAAAACTGAAAAGGGGATACATCCTTTGCTCTTGTTTTATCGTCTAATCCTAAATGAACTTTTTTCTTTTGTTATATTACGGGGCTGTTTATGGAAAAACTTTTACTATCTAATGTGATAAATGTTAATCTATGTATTTATAAGTATCGATACCGTACTATCGCTAGTAGTCCGAAAACTACATTTATTTATTATCGGGACGCTCTACATGCCCCAGATAGAGGCTATGGGTCCCACCACATCTTAATCGTCCTAATCGTGAATCGTTTGTAAAAGAATCATCCAATCATTGTTCTCAATTTAATCGTCCAATAAATCTATTCATCCAAACGTCGTTTAATCGTGCTAATCGTCCGGGAATATATGGAAACCGAATATAGGTATATATGTATATACTTACTGTGAAATATAACGGCAATTAATTACTTAAAAAACCCGACTGAAAATTATCGAATGAGAATGTAGAAAGGATTTTATAAAAATCCTTTCTTTATTTTTAGATAAAATAAATTTTAAATGATAAATTTTTGTTTTTTTTTTATTTAACAATTCCAGATACTTTGCATACAGAATATACAATTATCATTAACACGTTTCAATATCTATTTTGATTGTGTTCGAGTGTCGTTCAATAATAAGTTATATAGAGGGGCTATTTAACAATAATTTCTTTTGAATGTATTAAATTGCATAAATGTAATAAACAAAAAAGATGGCTTTAAACAGTTTTATTAACAATTTTTCACTATTTTCAGAAAAAATTGTATTCTTTTGTTTCTAGATGGTCTCATTAAATTTTTTTATAAGTTTTCTTAGTGGGTAGTCTGTAGTCCATTGAATAGGAGGTTTAAGCGTTTTAAAACACTTTTTAGGACACTTTTTAGGACACTTTTTTTATGTAAAAATCGTTATGTATAATGCATAACTTGTTATATAGAAATATAAATGGTAGAATTTTGTTGTACGTTAATTTGAACATTCTGTGGTTTGGTACATTGGGTATTCGTTATATTGGATGTTTATGTACTAGGCGTCTATATTGTCTAAACTTTGGCAAAATTTTTATGTTAGAAAATGTATTAGAATTATGTTTAAATTTTGTTTTCAAACAAAAATTTGTATGTGTTAGTGAAAAAGTGAAATGAAAAATCATGGCCAAGTTTAAACAATATAGATACTGATTTATTATATTAAAAAAAAACAAAGCCAATGGAACTATGATATATAGTTATTGATTATTAAGGTTTTATATTGACGTTTCAAAAAAATTTTTTTTAAACATGTATATATATTATTATATATTATGTTGAGGCTAGTTGAGTCAGTGTACCTGAGCACTTTTACTCTCTATTAACTGCGAGGTTTCTTCAAAACCCCTCTTTGCGCCTTGACTAGATTATTGTTTATCACTTTATCAGACTAAGCAATAATTGACCTCTGCATACCTCCCCGAGGAGCCTGTAACAATCCTGAGTTTTAATAATGCAGTGTTGGTAAGTCTGTCAGATTTCGCAAATAGTTTCAGGGCTCCATCCTTTATGTATTTTTTGATGGGATTTGTGCAATTTCTATCTGGTGAATAGTAGTGTTTGAAGCTTTGCTAAACGCTACACAACCATATAGAAGTGACGGACGAATTATTTGGTTATATATTATATATGTCAATAAATAACAATTTTTTCAAGAATTATCAAATATTTTTCTCAGTCATTAAGTTTAAAAAAATTTAAGTTTACACTTTACAAGCTTACGAAAATGTCCTATATGAAAATCCAGTCGGGATTATTTAAGATGGCACGTATAACGAATTTTGTATATTTTTAAATTTTAGTAAAAATGTTAAAATACTTTTTTGGGGTAACCTTAGCATAATTTATATACTAGTGAGTACCTTCAAAGGAATGATTATGAAAAATGGTACATATCACCTTTAGTAAATATAATTATATATGAAAAAGCACGTATGTTATATTTATCTAAGTTTTAGTTGAGCGGCCAAAGGAGTTACCTTTGATGTCATATATGCAAATTATATATGTAAATGTTGTAATATAAAAATATATACCCATTCAATAAGAGTGCTTTCTGTAAATTCGTTAGTACTGTAAATGCTATAATATATAGTTATGTTAGATTGTATATATGCAAGTGTGCAGTTTGTTTAAATGTGTTGTTATTATAAAAATTTTTACTTTAAACAAAATTTTAACCATACTTTAAAAATTTACTCTTTGGCATGTTTTATCAAAAATGTTCTTATTTTAAAACATGTTATTTAATTGTTACTGTTTTTTATTTTTTTTTTTTTGGTTTGTTTTTTGTAAATAATAAAATATTTCCTATCGAAATTAATGCTCGTGTGATTTAAATAACTTTAAAAGTTTTATAAAATATAAATTCGATTAAAAAACTGTTTTAAATTCAGTGTCATTAAAAGGAGATCGCTAAGAAGATAATTATTTATTGCAAAGGTAAATATATCACATTATATATTTTAACTTTTTAATTAAATTAATTATGTTAAATTTTAGTTATTTTTGAAATGTTAACTTTCAAAAAATACCCAATCAAATTAATTTAAATATGTTATAATTTTTTTATTTAAAAAATATCTTTAAGTGTGAAATTAATCCAACCACCTAATTATTTCAATTTCAAGCAATTCATAGTTTTAATTTAATTAAATTTTACCTTAAATTTTTATATTCTTTAATTAATTTTGAAATTAGTCACATAGTATCAAAAAGCATGTAGATTCCCAAGTGTGTTGCTATTCATTAGTTTTTCTACTTGATTTTATTTGTAAAATTTTGGGTACTACATACCATGTATAATTTGACCATCAAGAGTGGAAAATTTTGTTTCAATATCTTCACAATCTCTTCCTTCTTCGCCTTGTGAAGAAAATGAATGCCCTTGATTATGAAGTTGCTGCTCTGACTCTTGATGAGCTTTAATACGTTGAATTAACATATCTTTTCTACCTTTGTCTCTTAAGCCAAGTGCTTTCAAATAAGATCTTAATTCATTCACAGTTTTTTGTGTTGGGTCAAATTCTGTTCAAAGGTCAAATTAAAAGTGTAAATACATTTAATATAATTCGCATAGAAAATTATAAACGTTTTACTTGTTAGATCATTTATGTTAGCAGTCAAATTAGCTTTAGTAGCATTTGTACTCTTATTGATTCTAGCACTTGCAACTTTTTTAGTTTCCACGTTATTGATAGTTGAATCCACGGTTTTTTCATTTTGTGTAAAGCCTTTAAACAAAGTAAAAGTAAAAAAGGATGAAATGTAAAAAATGAAGGAGTTAAAAAATAAATAAAATTATATATACAAAATATATACTATAAAAGAAAACAAATTTCTTTAATATATGTATATAAACAAATAGATGAAATGGAATATGTAGCATAAGTTTTAGAAAGATAATATGTAGATGAATAAAAAGTTTGTTGTAAATTATAAAAATGGAGTACATTTAAATAATATAACATAAAACAATAAACATTTTGAAATATATAGTATAAAGTTTTAATAAAAATGGAACATATATAAAGCAGAATGATAATAATATTAAGAAAAACTTTATGTGTAACAGAATGAAAAACTGCGAATTCTATGTTTTAGATTTGTTTAAAAATCTTTAGATTTTTTAATTTAAATAATAATCTCCAAGAATCTAATAACAGAAATAACTAAAACTTTCATAAATGTATACACGATCAGTCAAAAAAAAGAAATTGCATGTTAAATATATATAATTTTTTTCTTAAATTACAATAACATGTAGTGTCCTTAAAGGATTAACAAAAACTTGTAAAACATCAATGCATGTTTTTAGATATTTACCCAAAGACATTCATATACTTATAGCAGGCTATTTTGAAGACCTCACATGTTTAGAATTATAAAATAGATATATAATGGTGTTTGCACGAAGCAAACGTACGTTTGATCAACTTTTGTGTGTTCCAACAAGATTATAACTAACCTGAAGAATATTAACGTCAACATGTTACTGTAAAACTAACACAAAGAGATCTAACGAATCGTGGTGAGGTTCTACAAATAAGCAACAATCATACGAAATTTAAACGAGAGAATGGAAATCGTGATGAGAGTAAAAAAGAACCAAATTGGTCAAAAACACAATTGGTAATTCAATATGTCCGTTCTGTAGGCTAGCTGACAAAGAAGTATCATAAGTGCTATATCATTAGTTTAAATTAAGAAATAAACAAGAAAGTCTTTTTTTAGTTAAAACAGTTTTTTTTGGGTAAATATCTTTATTGAACTATATATGGATTAATCAAAACAAATAGTACATACATGTAGGTGATAAGTTGCTAAACTTTGGCTGTAGGACTTAACGTTAGTTAAACTTCAAAATGTTATTGATCTAGTAAGACAGTGGTGCCCATCCCCTTTTGACAAAGGACCACTTTGATATTTTTGTTTTTAATAGGGACCACCCACAAAGTTTAAGAATAATAAACTGTGTGATTATTTTAATATACTTATTGTATCTCTGGTAAAATGTATAATGAATTGTGTAAGTAGAGAGGTACATTATATACGCTATAAAATGGGAATATTATTACTTCAAAAAATTGTATGCTTATTTTCTAATAAGTGACGTCTCAGTGGATAAACTACAATCTATGTTTTCATACCTGTTAAATTTGATTCACGGACCATTATTAACTATTACGCGAACAACCGGTTGGGAACCACGGTACTAGGAATATTCTGTTCAAATATATTATTTCATTTTCAGAAATTGTTTTCTAGATGTTCATGAGATTGTCAAATTATATTAAATTTTAGGAATAGTACTTGTTGTAATGATAAACTTAGGTACAGTCAAGGAACATTAAGATTTTCACAAAGATTACAAAAAAAGCATTTCATTAAAGAATTGTACAGAGTAAGGTTTTTCTTTTATAATATATTATCTAATAAATAGAGAGTGTCTTATATTAGAACAAGAGTAATTCACTATATTCACTATATATTACAAGAGTAATATATATTTGCTGTATCCAATATAAGTTATTATAAGTATACTTGATTTCTTATGTATTTTATGTTCTCCGTTTATTATATTTAATATTTTTACTATTACACTTTTTAATAGATTTTATTAAATTAAATTTTAAAATGTAAAATTTATATAATAAAAATGGATGTATATTGAAGTTCAGATTACTTGAACACCATGTTCTGTTAAATTACTTGTTAATGAAAAATGGTAAAAAAACAGCATCCATATGGCATTTTTTTTAAAAAAATAAAGTTTTGCATACAAAATAAATAAAAAGTTAACATTTGTATTCGGTTCGAAATATAAAAAAATTCAACGGATTGCTTTTAATATTAACTTTCAAGACAATTTAATTTAAGATACTAATTAAAAAAATAAATTAACTCGTTGCATTATTGCCAGTCCTTTTCAGAATTAAGGTGACATGCTCAGCTTTAAATTTAATATTGAAAATGAAATAAAATTGTAAATATAAAAAATTTGTATAAAAGAAATATTAATAGCAATATTAAAAAATACAAGCATCCTCATATTTGAATGTAGTGTACTAATTAGAAAATTATTAAATATTATACAGGGCTAAATAAGGGATTCTCAACCATTGCCTTATAATTTAATATTGGGTCTATATAAAATTTAACGTCGTAAATGAGCTTTTAAAATAAAATATATAAAAAAATAGCAAAATAATTACAAATACATCAGATTTATTACTCGTAGAACTTGGAATACATGTCATATAAATAAATGATGGTTTGAATAGAAGAATAATGGAGTTTTTTTTTAATAATCTCACATACGTAATCGAAAAACATAAAAACGCAAACACGTAGGAGGACTTAGAAGATGACTCTTTCCTTTCAGGAAAGATAAGAAACAGATAAAGATAATAATCGAATTCCATAAGATAATTAATAGCTCAAAATCTATTTATGACTTGCTTAATTTATTGGAATTAGCAACAACTATAATAAATAATATCGTATTATATATTATACCTTGGGAAAGGTTTTTATATGTTTATCAGTAAGTGATATAATCATTGTAAACTTTTAAGAGCATAGTATACAAATTTGGAAAAACACCTAAAAAATTCGGTAGTACTAAAAATATATTTTAAATAATGAATTGATTTTATATAAAATTCGAAATAATTTCGGAGATCTGGCACAATTTCCTTGCCACTCAAAAATAAAAACGTGTTTTTCTTGAAGACAGTTTTTTGAACTGATGAACATATTTTCGCAAGTTTTGTTGACCCGATTTTAATAAAATTAGACTCAACAGACTCAAAATTGATGAGGTAATATCCTATATCACACTTATTCTATTTTTAAAAAAGTTAATAGTGATATGCAATAATTTTCAAATTAATTAAGTAAGAATAGTCTATTAAGTTATAGATTAAATTTATCCCACTTAAAATGATATTAATTTCTGCAATAAAATATTTTTAAGCTAGATAATTCGTGAATAATTTTCTATAATATTTTGTATATTCTTTAGTACTGAAAATAGACCAGTATTTTATTTAATCGTCACTTATTTTTTAAGTAATGGACCATCTTTTGATTGTATGGTAGTTAGAAGGAAAACGTATCTTATATAATAAACTATATCAATTAAATCATAAAATGTTCCATATATTTGAAATAATATACATTTACTTTTAAAAAAGTGTATTAATTGGTAACAAAAGTGGTATTTCAAAAAACTGTGTTACTAAAATATGAAATAAGTTGGAAACATATGTATTACCGCATAACCGCATTAATTTCTGAAGGCTCAGTTCTTTGAACCTTTGTTCGATACCTTAAATTGTGGATACTCAGAAAACATATTCTTATGAATTTGTAGACGCCAACGATGGTATCATAAGCAAGACGTAAACTAATGGTCCTTTCATATTCTATTATGAAACTAATAATTTTTTTTTAGATCTATATCTTTGGTAATAATTTTTATGTACATGACTATTACACAAACACATTATTTCCAACGTTAAATTTTATCGAAAGCTTTCATTATTTGGTATATTTTATTTATATTTATATTTTTTATATACTATTAACATGTTTAAAATTATACTTAATAAATACATAGAATATATCATTTGCAGTATTAATAAGAAAAATACTTTTTTTTAAAGTGTACATTAAAAGTTTTTATTATCTTTTGTCGTCTATTCTAGATTTATCAAAAGAATTTTTCGTAAATAAAAAATGTGGTTTAAATGATTTTGTGATTGCGGTTTTGTTTAATTAACCTGCACGTAACATGTTAATTAAAAACGATAAATGAACTTGAAACAGTTTATTTCTTGGTAAATGAAAAATATTTAGTTTGTAAATTTTTTATTTACATAAAATTTTAAATTCATTAATCACTCTATAAAACATGACTCCTTTGATAAAAAAAAAAATTAAGGTCGGTTAAAAACTTTATTTGGGTGGACACTAAACGGTCTATAAGATAAATTGGCCAATTATGGTAAACTGGTTTTAATACCAAGTAATTAATTAAGAA